TTGATTTTGCAATAAAAGAATTATAGAAAATTTCTCTGATTTTTTTATGTTTCATATGAAAAGTAGGTAAAGTAATTTCTAAGCAGTGGGTCATTATCATTTAAAATTGCTCAGAGGGTAGGATTTTAACTGCTGTGATATTTTTCTTTAAAAAATGATAGATGTTATTTAATACTTAAAGATAAATTGCTGCATAACTGTGACTTCTTTTTCGGCTGCCAACTTAGCCCTAAACAAGCTTAGTTAATATGAACAAGAAGTTTCAAAATTAGTTTAGTAGGAGAGAAAATCTGAACTAAAATGTGCATACATTTCCTCATTAGCTAAACTAAGAGTAACCAAGTTTAGTTTACAAACTACTCTCAAAGGACAATTCAACCTGATGCAAACATCTGAGGAAGTTCGTGTTAACCTTTTAGAAAATTCCTCCCTGGCTATTGGCTCTACCATAAGCATTGTATCGCAGGTGAGTTTGAAAGGGGCAAGCATTGCCCACCTCAGGCACGGGCTTTGGAAGGCAGGAAACTGCTGGGAAATGTCTCTCCCAAGTGTCCGTCTCCACCCGGCTCTGTGCGCACCACCGAACCCTGGGTGGTCCCTTAGGTGTCGAACAGGCAACTCAACCTTAGCAGAACCATGATTCCTAATCACCTTCAATGAGCAAAACCCAGACGTGCTCCACTCCCAGGGTGTCCTGTCCACTTCCTGACACACTCATCCCACCGACCCCAGATGCTCTCCTCGTTCTCTCTTTGTCACCTCAATTTCCAATCGGCCACCAATTTCTGACAGCTCCACTTCCCGTATTTACCTAAATCGACCCTCCGCCCACGTTCTGCACTCTTTATTCTAGTTCTCAGCCCCACGATCTTCTCTGTCTGCCTTACTTTCCTCCACTCTTGCTCTTCAGGTCCATTCCCCATTGGGACGTCAAAATTATTTTTATAAAACATAAATTAACTTGTATCATCCTCTGCCCACAGTCTTCAATGGCTTCCCACTCAGTTCGGGATAAAATCTGAACTCTCTCTGAGACCTCCTTCAATTCAGTTTATATTTGTCTCTCCCCTTCCCTTACTCTGGTCCAGCCATGTGGCTCCATTTGTCCTCAGAACGCACTAAACTGATCCACGCCACAGGCCCTTTGAAATTACTATTTCCTCTGCCCCAAACACAGTTCTCCCAGATTTTCCTATGATTCCTCTCTTCTTTTGCTACGGTTCCTCATTCGGGATCAACTCAAATGTACCCCTTTGAGTGGCCTTCACTAGTACAGTCTTCTTCAGTACCTTTCCCTACTTCATCCTGTTTTGATTTCTGTATTTTTGTCAGCTGCATTATTGTATGTCTTTGTTTACTTTTCCTTAGAATGTAATTCCAGGACAGTGGGGTTGCGTCTGCTTTGTTTACCTCTTTAACCTCAGTGCCATGTGCAAAATCAGGCCCACAGTGGGAACTCAGAGAGTATCGGTTGAATATTTTGGATAAATTAATGATGAGGACATTTAAAAAGTGACCTTTATGTTGCAAAGTCCCTATCAATTTGTTTGCTGACTCTAATTGCCAAGGTTACAGGGCAGAAATGAGGTGAGGTTCGATGGCATGCCAGAAGAAAAGTATTTGGGGGCTAATGCATGGAGCCAATATTTGCTAAAAAATATGACTGGATTATTTCCACATATGGGAAGAATGGACAAGAGAAACACTTGCTTACTCCTGTGATGAGAGATGGCATTTTCATAGTACAACACCATTAACAAATGCACTTAACAGCCACTACAACCAAAAATAAACTCATTTTTTACTCAAACAAATAAGTAACCATCTACACCTACAGATGACATTCTGAAATGTGTTCCACCTTCTGCTTGCTCCCTTGTCACACACCTTCTCACACACACCAATTAATAAACTCTCACTTCGAAAGGACGATTTTCTGAACCTTTTCAGACCTGACACTGTGGTGAGTCCTTTTAACTGTCTCTTGATATAGACAGTACAAGAGCCACCCCTTCTAGGGGACACACATATTATCAGCAGTCAGAAGTGCGAGAAAATCAAAAATTTCTCTTCATCTCTCGAAGATCTGGCTTAGGGGAGAACATGTTCTAAGGCAGTAAAGGTACCTATTTTAGTCACACCCACACAAAATGTGACTTTCTGCTACCTTCTATAAAAATCTAAATTTCAATCAGATCACCTGAGTAGGCTTTTAAAAGATAAACCTCAAGGTCGTATTTTTATCTGACACTTTCTTGTAACCCTAGAATGAAACTTAAGCATGAATAATTGGAGAGCTTCACATTAATACAAAGATCAAATGATGCGACTCAATTTAACACAGGAGTTTAAAAAAATTGGGATTATTTCCCTTGTCGCCTTGAAAAAGAAGTGGCTTTGAAGCCTCTGAAACAAGAAGAAAGAAGTTATGCTGGATGGGTGACGATATCAGTGAGTCCCCCTCCTTACAGTTTTTATAAACCCTATACTTTGGGGATTTACCTATTTCCTTGTGAATATGTTTCCTGATATCATAGCCTCTTCGCTCTATGGCAGCTCCATCCTCACTGCCTAGAGTAGGGCCTTCCATCTGTTTTTGTCCTATAATACATCCCATAAAAGCAGTTGGAAAGCACACCCACTTCACACACAGATTTCTGTATTTTGAAACTATATTCCGGCGCCATTGCACAGTTACACATTTCACACACGTCCCTACAACTAAAAAAAAATTAACAGGAGACAGAATAAATATACACCATAAGTTCTCTTTTTCCTTCCTGTCTCCCATCGACCAGCTTGTGCTTTCTCTGGGGAATGCGTATCCCACTTTAGAGACCACTAAGAATTTCCTGTGTCTTAATAAGAGGAGTAGGTTATATGCAGTTCTTTTGGTTTTATGATCAATTGTGTATTAGAGTTTTCAAATAACCTTGAACGGCAGACCATACTATATCGCATGACGCTGTGGGTGGGGGGCCCTAGGCCAAGGCAATCCTTCCTTCAGCTCAGGAAATATTTTTGGCGGCTGATGACTCAGAGCTGAGTTCACGTACCTCTACCACATTCCACCCCAGTTGGCCTCATCCAATGACTGGCCAGTCCGGGGAAGACCGGCCTCCTTGTCTCAAATCCAGACAACCTGAAAGGGCCCTTCCAGCTCCAGAGTTCCTACTGGGTTCAGACGAGGCTTCTGTGACAGTTACAGCACAGTTCGGTTGCTACCTCTGCACAGTCATACTCCCTCCTGTCCCTTACTGATCGCGACGGTATGCTGCCATGAAACTCCTGTACAACAAGCTATGTTCCAGAGTCTCTTTCCTGGGAACCCCAACAACAAAACAGATACATCAGCACACACTTAGAAATCTAGTTAGCTTATACATCAAGTTCCTACTAGATTGGTTATTGAGCCACTAAAAACACAAGAAGAAATGTAATATTCTAAGTTTTCCTGAACCCTCATTAGGTTCTCACTGAGTCAAGGTTAACTTCACCTGGAGCTCCTGTTTTTCATATTAAGAAGCAGCAAGTTTCCAGAAAGTTGGCAGGAAGAGTGACCTCCCTCCTTTTGAGAGCGTGAGAGACATTCGCTGACGAACTCCACATCGTTGCTTCTGAGGACCACAGGCTCTCTCTCGCTGACCTCAGCCATTCTGCCTCAGTCCTGGTCCAGCTCCTACTATTCACTGTGCTTCACACTCACTTGAGCTCCCAACCCAATCCCGAGACTACTCACTTCCAAGAAATGTCTCAGCACTTGGCAGTGTTAGGCACATACTTACTTTACCTTGGAGAATTCTCTCGGAGGGAACTGGTTTAATTCACCAGAGGCCATGAGGTTAACTAATAGTTGTGACACCATTTTTTTTCTTCCATTTTTCTCAATGTTAAGTTATGTTCAGTTCTCTTCCCAGGTGAGAGCTCTATTTTCCTAAAGTAACAGTCACTAAATAAGCAAAGTAGCTATTATTATTGCTACCTAGGGGGTAGAAATCTATGGTTTTGGACTCAGGCCCCATTCGCTGCTTACATAAACTTTGCTCAGAATACAGAGACTCTCATAGAAATAGGCTCCCAAGAACTGGTCCCATATCAACTTGTTTTGCCAAAAAATTATGGGAAGCATACCAATGGCTCTAGAATACTTTAATATCAATAAAAATGCACTACTATGTTTAAGTATAGCTTCTGACAAATAATCACATAATACTAGAAATGAGTATCAACCATTTGCTTAGAAAAAATATGCACATATAAATTGTTACATAAAGACCAATAACTAAAAAATAGTCCCTCTTAACCAAAACTCCAATAGATGCAGAATGGAGGGTAGCCTTTACAACTTGTAACATAATCTTTGTTTCTGACTGATAGAATAGTTCAACAAACTATTCTTTTGATAGATATTTGCACACTTCATGTGGCATGTACTAAAACCAGCAGTAAAAAACACACTTGACTAAATAATGTTGAGTGTAAAACAGAAGCATTTCATAAACAATTAGATTATGAGATAACATGTAAAAGGCAATACAGAAAAAAAATATAAGAAATGCATATTATTCATTTATAACCACTTTTGTTGAAAATGCAGCAAGAACCTCAATAGAAAGGCTCAGAGACTTACCTGAAAGGTGAATTTAGCATCTTCCATGCTCTGCTATGTGTTTTCTTTCATGGTCAGTAGTTCTTATGTCAAAAGCTTATTATTAGGGATGGAGCTCAACCTGAGATTCTCACTGTTGATTGAAATGAGGAGGCTATGGCTCCTTTTCACAGATTCAGGTTGCCCAGCCATTAACACACTGCTGCACATTGACTTTATATGAAAAATCACTCAACCAAATATTTCCAAAACCCTAAATACAGGAAGTTATTCCAATACTCAATTTTAGGTAGGATTATCAGATGACATTAACAAATTTATCACATTTCATGGAAAGCACCCACTTATTACTCACCACTGAGTACACCAATAAGAGAGGGCCAGCACTTACCTGAATAACGTGCTTCAGTTTATCGATGATCTGATTTATCACAGGATCCGGGCCTTTGACTTTGACTTCGGGATTGCCAGATTGGGCTTTGATTCCATTTCCAACCACACGCTGAGTATAACTAACAAAGTGAACAGTGAAAGATATATGGTTTAGTAAACTGGTTAGAGTACTATTTGCTGCAACTATTTGAACAGATTAGAGTTCAGAATTTCACTGCTTTAAGAGTATACGACACTGCATTTTGGTTTTTGGTGTTTTTTTTTTTTTTCTTGAAACAACCTGGAAGAGCTGCAAATGTTTTTTCTGGATAAATGTTTAACACAAAAATATAAATTATTCTCATGCTGTATTCTCAACAGACCCAACCAAAAATTAATTGTGCTTTTTAATGCAACTTAACAATATGCTAGAAAAAGTTAATAGACATCTAACCTTATTACCAATTCTTGCTGAATTACACATGTCTTAATACATATTATCTGGGTCAACATTTACCCATTTTACACAGTATACAGATAAGTCCCAATAATATTTCTTTTCATATTGGACTACAAAAGAACTATAAATGTATGTTAACTATGTAAGTTAAAATCACAATTATTATAAGTAAACAAATAAAACCTGCACAATATTTTGCAAATAGAGAAAGCATAATCTGCTTTCAACAAGGTTCACCAAAGTTCACCAAGTGGATTACAACAAGAGTCTAGTAAAATCTGTATAAAAGGGTGATTTCATAGGCAGTGAAAGTCATTGTAAGTCACTACCCTTCCAAAATGACAATCATATATCAATTTAGTATTCATACAAATGTTTAAACTCATCAGATTAAGTGCCTCCCACAATATTCAAATCCTTTTAAGTGACTAGGCTTACAAGAAGGTATAAAACTCAATTCTTGACCTCAAAATGCTAATTATCTACCTGGGAATATAGTGTATCACTTAACTTGTCCATTCATGCATTCATCCATTCATTATATTTTACTATATTTTTAAAATACCTACTAGCTTCCAGTGATATAATTACCCTTATTTTCCTGACAGGGTGGGGTAGAATAGAGACAAGTAAAACAGCTAAAGTGCGACATAAGGAATAAGTGAAATGTGCAGTACACCAAGGAGATATAGCGAGAAGGAAGATCGCGCGCCAAGTGACAGGTAGGGATAACACATGTAGTAGACATTGAACATATGGGGAATTCCATTTGGACTAAGACAACTTGGGGGAAAACTAAAAACGTTACAGCTTGAGGTAGCTCTTGAAGTATTATGGTAAGACTAGGTCTTAGATGGCATAGTTAATGCCAAATCCAGGGACAAGGAAGATGCCCCATAATGCAATAGTGGTAGATAAACACCAGAGTGATTTAAATGAAAAAGACAGGTGATACCAAGTGCTAACTCAGATGTGGAGAAATTGGAACCCTCTCTCTTTGTGGATGAAGTGTAAACAGATCTAAACCACTATTTGACATGCATGCTAAAGCTGAACATATCCTATGCTCCCAGGCATATACGCAACAGGTATTAAGAATGCTCAGAAAAGTATTATTCATTAATAGCTCCAAACTGGACACAACCCAAATGTCCGTAAACATTAGCACTGACAAATAAATTACAGTATATTTATATAATGACATACTATATACCAATGAGATTGAATGAATCCAAACTATACTAAAAATCTTATAAACTAAATATTGAATGAAGGAAGCAGGATATAGAATATGCCCTATGACTACATACATAGGAAGTTTAAAAACTAATCAGTGCTTCAAGTGACCCTAAGTGCTATTCTAGGAGAGATTATCTAGAAGTTTAAAGGGAGCTTCTGGAATTTTAGTAATATCCTTCTTGATTTGGGTCCTAGTTATATGAAAGTGCTCATTTTATGCTTTTAAAGGTAAGGAAATAAACTGTACAGTTGAGATTTGCATACTTTATGGTATGCATGTATTTTAAACCTAAATCAAACATTAAAACTTCCTGTGCTCTTTTTCTTAATATGTACACAACACACAAATTTTCATTGGGCCATGTATAAATAAAAGATCCACATAGGTATTTTTAACACGGGCTAAATGGTTTTGTCATTACTAAATGAGTAATTCAGGATCCCAGCGTGATGCACAAACTTACTCCCTGCAGACTTTAATTTGCATGCAAAACATATGGTTTCTAAATCAAATAAAAAATTTTCTAACAAAGACTTTTTATTTGAGTTTTTCATTATGAAATTTTAATAAATCATTAATCACTCTTTTTGCTCCTAAATGTACAAGTAATGGATAAAACATTTCAAGGATCCCTACAGAGGTTCCTTGACTTGAAAAATTGCTCACATTTCAATGAGAAGGAGGGAACAAAACACAAAAAAAGAGAGGCCAAATTTTTTTTTTTAGAGAAGTAATAGACCTACCATCTGTGCTTATTTCTTCTAAGCAGGTCTGGTAATGGATGACAGCAGTTTAATAGGAATACTCACTCCCCAAGTACGACTCATTTTTCATTAACATGGAAAAAAGGTAAGCACTGATATATTTACATTCTACAAAAATGTTGTAAAATGATGATTAACAAGATTCCAGTTCTCTTTGTGTTCAACATATGAAATATGAAAAAGAAGTGGTTATAAATAATCTACACACAGTATGTCACTAGGAAGTCATTTCCCCTGACTTTTCCAATATTACTTGTTTGGAACTCATGCTTATACGCTATTGACTGATGCTAAATAGACTTTATTTAGAATGCAATAGCATTTGTTTCAGATTTACAGCAGAAGGGTGTTATTTTGATATGCACGTATACAATTTCAGGTGAAAAAAAAATCTGAAATGCAACCCTAGAGTTCATTACAAATTATTACAAGTGGTCTGTCTTAGAAGTCTTAGGTAACTTCACTGGGACAGGATATAAGAATGTAACAATGGTAAGAGGAAACCACCTGATTGTGGCTTTCTCTTTTTATCATTATTGCCATCTTTGTTAGAGGTTAAAGGTGAGACTGAGGACCAGGTTGTTGATGATGTTAGTAAGAGATGTTTTGCTTTTTTGTGTATTACTTTTTGTATGACTTGATTAAACATGAAAGGAGGGGGTGGGTAGGGGAGGGGGTAGTGCTGGGGAAAAGTGGGGACAACTGTCATTGAACAACAATATTTTTTTTTTAATTCTATGTCCAGAGTTTTGATTCTCCTAATTCCATAGAGGAAAAACACTGGAGTGTCTTTGGCTCTGGTAGACATGTTGCTGTGTCAGGTTAAAAGAAGTCCAGGCAGTATAGTTTATGTATTCATCAGTGATCCTCTTCTTCAAAAACAAATTTTCCTTTGAAACCACTTCTGGGCCTCCCTACCTGGTTCTGGTAGCAAAAGTGAAAGTGATTACTAGAGAATTGCTTTTTGTAAATTTTCTCAGATGCTTGGGTGGCACAAGATACCACCGCTAAATGTTGCTTTGCATTCACGCAGCTTCTATAGAGCACTTTTTCTGTATAGGGCAAGTCTTCATCTTTGAAATCTCAGAATAGAAAGAAGTCCTCTGATTGATTTTATGAGCCAGGTTTATGGGAATAACCTTTCAGGTGGGTAAGAGGCTTACAGAGTATTTTAAAAATGGAGACATCTATACAATCAATTCAAAATGATTAACTATTTTGTGATTGCACTATCTCAATTCAATCATTAAGTTACAAGCTATTTTTAAGTTAATCTTTACCATTTATTTGGCTTTATAATTATAGATAAATAATGTTTAGAGATCTATGTTGCTAAATTTATATAATGAATTAAAAATGAATATAATTAATAGATACCTTATTGTCATATTTATTATTATTTACATAAAATTAATTTCCTTTTAAGGATATCATATTTTGTGATATCTTATAGGTAACACCCACTAACATTATCTTAATAAGGTAGTGTCATATTTTATGTAGTAACCAATAAGATCATTGTAATAAATCAAATAAGAACATGTTAGAAAGATAGAAAACATGAGCTTATTCAAGAATGGTATTAATCAGTCTTCATTCTAACTCTTTCACTGGCGGGGAATGTGTTCGTATGTGTCAGAAAAATCACAGGTAACCTATTCCATGACATTTTATAAAATAAATACCTTAATTATAGCAAAAGATGTCTCTTTATAGTTCTCAATTTTTGAATTAAAAATTCAAAGCAAGTGGTAATAAACCTTTGGTTTACTTTATAATTACCTTAATTTGATTCAAAGCAACTATGAAATTTTAAATGATCAGTTCTAATTATAATCAACTGCACATAGTATGAGTTTTTAAATATTACACTAATTCCCATCTTCCAGGCACATATTCCAAACTTAAACCCTTCTCAGTGAGAGACAAGCTATCGCTCATGAATTTATGATGACAATTACTACTTTGCACTGGTTTTCTGTCCCTTTTCACAGTTTGATTTCAATATAAAAAATGTAAAATGTTATTTAGGGAATAACTATTATCTGAGTATTAATAAATTAGATGTTATTTGAGCCAATAAAACGGAATCAAAATGATTTATCATATAAATTTCATTTAACCAACCTTTTATTAGAGACGTTATTAAATACTATTAGTTCCTAGAATCTTATACAGATATTTTTAATTTTAAAAATATAATTGACACCAACATTAATTAAATTTCAACTATAAAACTACCAACTGCATCACAAATACTTTAAGATTAATTGCAATGATTTTAAGATTACCAACATACCACCTCAATGAGACACTCAAATACTTTCTACCAATACAGAACATAAAATCAGAGAGAAAGAACTGCTGAATTTCAGAGTGTGCTAGTTTCCTAGGGATAATGTATTCTACTCACCACACACAGTAATGGAAAGAAACTGGAAGCTGCCTGAATTTTCTCATGAACCTCAATTGATCAGTGGACTTTACACATAAATCATTCCTGAAGTCACATTTTCCTCTAAAAAATATTATTTATTGCAAAATAATACTTATATTTCACAAACACATCTTTTAAATTATTACTTGGGTTTTTTTCTTTACTTTTCCATCGTAATTCAGCTGGGCTTAAAGAAAATATTTTAATCATTTGGAAATTTTCGTGCATGCTATCTAGCA